GGCGAGCAGGGCGCGGACAGGGCAGGCCTCGTGGGTGAAGGAGTCTATGTGCTCAGGCTGGTAGCCCAGCTCGTCTGCCAGGTGCCGCCAGGTGTCCCCCGCAGAGCCATCGAGCAGCTTCTCCACCTCCTCCCGCTTGGCCGGCGGCAGGCTGCTGTAGAGGCCTCCATCCCCCTTGAGGGCTGCCAAGAACCAGGGGGAGTCAGACACCACCCGCCAGGCCCCCTGCCCCGGGGCCTACAGGCAGAGGGATGGCCGAGATGGGGTCCTGGCTCGGTGGGGGAGTGGGGGGTGCAAGCTGTGGAGGCGGTCTGGGGGGATGCCGACTCATGTGCCTCCCCACCCAGAGTCCAGCACTACCTCCACCCCCTGACCCCTTCCCGTCCCCCAGCAATTAATCCAGACAGAGGAGGAGACAAGACTTCTCAGTCCCAGACTCAGCTGTAGCAAGTGTCCTGGAGCTGGGCCACTAATTAGGGGACATAATTAACTACTTGTTCCCCAGAAGTCCAGGGCAGGAGGCTAATTGCAGCCACTTGGGGGAGTAATTAGCCCTAGGGGGGACAATTAGCTTGATGAGTCTGGATGCTCCAGTTTGTCAAAGCCTCCATTTCTCAAGTCTCTCTGGGAAAAGGACTTCCCTCACCCCGACTCTCCCATCCTTCCACCCAGAGGCTCGGGGAGCCAGCCCCTCGGGCAGTCCTTCCTAGAGTCGAATCTTCACCCCTAATGGCCCTGCCTCAGTCCCCTGCCCAGCCTTGGCTCACCCTGGCCCGCGGCCGTCTGCGTGTGGGGCTGCTGGTCGTGCAGGCTCTGGCTGTCCACAGAGATGCCGCTGTCACTGTGGAGTTTTTCTCCCTCGGGCGGGGGTGTCTGGTTCACCGGCCGGCTGTTGGCTCCTTGCTTGTTCTGCTTGCAGCTGTTCCACCTGGAGCCAGAGGACAGGCCCAGCCTCAGGGGGGGTGGGGAGGGGTGGGGCGCACTGGCCATGGGGCTAAGGCATCTGGTGTGTGAGCCAGGGGCTCGGTGGGCACCCAACTATCACCCCCGCCACGGTGCCTAAGGTTCCCCTTTCTCTGCACAGCGGCCCGGGCCTGCACGGAAAGCATCGTGAGGGCAGAGGGGCGCCCAGGGCTTGGTGCACACTGCAAGGGTTCAATAAATGCTCCTGGAATGAATGACGCATGAATAAATGACTTCCCAGCATTCCACTTGCCCAATCTACTCTTGTAAAATGCTCGCACATGTGGGCAGGACACATGGAGTATGAGGACTTCCTCTGCTATTATAAGCACTAAGAAAAAGCGGCCAACAGACCAAATGTCCATCCACAGGGAACTGGTTAAATAAATTATGACCCATCCATATTATTGCGTGAGTGGTTAGAAATGATCGGATAATCTGTATGTCTCAAGGAAAGCTCGCCTGAGGGAGATTGGTGAAAAGTACGTTGTAGAATATGTAAGTGTGATCCCAGTGGTGCTAAACCTGCGCGTTCACGTGCAACTAGAAAGTTTTATGTGCATGTGTTTATAAATGCACAGGACATGGTTGGAAGGGACTCAAACAGATGCCGACGATGAGAGGGGTAGGATTTGAGGAGATAAAAGGGAGCTTTTGCTTTTGGCTTCACAAGACATTACTCTTGTGTGCATTTTCCCAAACAAGCCTATATTACTTTGATGTTTTGTTTCTTTTTAAGAATGAAAAATGCACTTAAACATTTTAAAACGCTTTCTGGCAGTCCTGGATTTCTGGACGTGGGTGCCACAGCCTCCCAAGTGTGACTTGGGAAGGAAAAGACGCATCTGATGTGTGAGCACGTGTAGGTACCTGTGTGGGTCAATGGGGTTCGGAATGAGGACAGAGGCAGTTGGTAGAGCAAGCCTACTGTGTGCAGCTCAGCTCCGGGCTGAGTCCGAGCGG